TAAAATGCCCCCCCCCCCCTTCCCACCCCACCCCAACCCCAAATTTAAAAGATATGATCCCTTTAAATTGGTTTATAAAATAATTAGTAAGATCATATAAATCAGAATGAACGAAATAACTTGAAAAAAAGATAGTAATCAACTTATTACAACTATCTAGTTAAGTCGCATCAACATTATAACACATTAAACTTAAATCCAATTAGTATTATTATACCTATTGAGAGCAAAACACCATCTCAAGTCATTATCAATTTCTTCTTCATACCAACAACTCTTTCTTGGACCTCCCACTACATGTCCATTTTCATTATTCAACACATTAGATAATGCAGCTGATATTTCACCCATTTTTTTTTCTCAAACACACTAATTGGACAAAGGATAGAAGAGATAATAAAGAGTGAGACTTCAAAGCTAAGTGACAAATAAGTTTAAGGATGAAAAAAATTGGAATGTTAAGTGGAGAATATAAAGAGAAAAAAGAGTGTCATTGTAATCATTTAAGTTCATGAGTTGGGATAACTATTGAAGCAAGTTTACATAAAATCCTCATGGATTTTGGAGACACAAATTCCAAAAAAACATTATAGTAAATGGAATACAAAAAATAAATTAAAAGATCATTATAAGTGGGAATTCTAAGGTTGATTTCCTCGCGTGCGTTCTCTAAGTGTATGTTTATGTATATTTGGAATATAAAATAATGACTACTACTTTTTACCAATGTTATGGGGCTCTAGTTCTTCATTGGGCTTAATATATAAACTCCGTCTATTTTTATTTGTCTAATTTAAAAAATTTAGAGATAATTTTTTATTTTATTCGTATTATTAAGTATTATTCATTTTTTAAATATTTAGATGATTTATACTTTCTTCGTTTCAATTTATGTGATGTTGTTTTACTTGACATGTAATTTAAGAAAGAAAAAAAAACTTTTGAAACTTGTGGTTTTAATCAAGTTGTAAGTGATAATAGATTTTCCTTTTTAGCAACAATTGAGATAATGTCATTGCATGCATCCAGAGTTGCTAAAGCCTTATACGGTATTTATATAGAGTATTGGTTATAAATACTCATATTTATTATTATCGTTTAATATAATAGAATGACAATTATATATTACGGTTAAATAATTGTCACAATTTTATTTATTTATTGTAGTGTTAGCAGGGGCGGCTCTGCCTTATAAAAATCAAGGCATATGTGTTACGCCCCCAATTTTGGAAGGCCTCAAATTTTTACCAAGAATAAATTATGTGTTATTTTTTTATTTAAAAAAATAATTATTTATAATAAAAAGTATATAGTATATATTTTTTATTACATTTCTTTGCTACCATTCACATTATTTATTTTTTAAAACTCATTTTTTCTTAAAGTTTATCAACTTATTACTTATAGAATTGTGTTAACAATTCATATAATGATTGCTTCAATAAAATAATATTTTTCAACGTTGAATTGATAAAATCTTACCTAAAAATAATAATTATAAATAAAAAGAAGTACTCGAAAAAATCATCTATAAGAAAAATTAAGTAATAATTTGCATCTAAATAGTTAGAAAAATAAATTTTAAAATAAATATGTATGAAATTTGTTAGGCGTCAATTGAAATTTCGCTTTAGGCCCCCAATTACGTTGAGCCGCCCCTAAGTGTTAGTATAGTACTCTCAACCCTATCAAATTAAACCCTTTATTTGATTGTTGATTTTTTTTATTTCTCGCTAGTTATTTAGTACTTATTTTAAAGTCCAACTAATATAAATACAAATCATTAAATTTTATTTAACTTGGTACACTTTTTTACAATAGACTATTACATACTTAGAACTCAAATTAATTTTTTCTGACTACTATTGAAAAAGATACTTACCATCTCGCCATAACATTTGGAAATGGTTAGATGACTATATAGTAATTATATCAATTTTTATTAATTATACATATAGTTCATCATCTTAGCTTTTGCTTTAGCAACCTTTATCTTTTAACACATTTTATTTTCTCCAAAATTATGGTAATACCAAGTGAGAAGAATAGTGGAGTAATAATGATATGTTGGTGTAGTAATGCAACGATTCGATAAAACATGATGGTTGAAAAATGATTATATAAGCTAGCTCACCATATATATAAGAGAAGTATTTGAACAATTAATTTGTTCTTCCTTTGTTATAATTTGTTTGACTTGATTTGAAATACGAAAGTTAAAATAATTAATGTTCTATGTAAATTTGAATATATTACTATCATATTTATTTATTTTTTTAAAAAACTTATATATTTAAAAACTATATAAAAAGTTATTATAAGTAATAGTTAACATTTAAAAGTATTTAAAAAAATTATCGTAATTTTTTTTTACAATTCAAATAGTAACCATACTATACATTTAGTGGCAATAAATTTTGCTTTTATTGTCGTAAGAACATTAGCAACAATTGAACTAATATCATTAGATACGTCACTTAAACTCTTTAGCGACATTTACATAATTATATAGAGTGTGTTATAAATGCTTATATTTTATATTAAGTTTTTATTGCTGCTTAGTATAAAATAATTATTGTAAAATCATTTATTTGTTAATATAAATTGTAATTAAGACAAATAAATTGAAAGGGAGAACTACACCACATGCATGCCTTATGGTATCACTTCAATTAGAAGAATGCACAAATCAATAATACAAGTTAGGGATAATTATTGCAATTAGCAATACAATTGTAGTCAACAATACTTTTTTTTTTTTGGGGAAGAGAAGACATGATAATGTCAAAAGCACTAAGTAGCAACAAATGAAACAACTAGAAAGAGTCATCATACATAAGTGAAAAGGGATATTTCTTTGGGAAAAGAGAGATTTTTTTTACAAAAAAAAAAAGATAAAAGAAGATGATTGAACACATAGGTATAGTGGAGACAAATACCTAAAATTAGGGTTTTTTTAATCTAAAAAAATTGAAGTGAAATAAATAAATTTCTTTAAGAAATTAAAACTTGTGCAATAAAATGTTGGCGTGCAATGAAAAACATCATTCATAGTTATTCATTTGTTGCTCAAAAGATGATAAATGGCGTGCTAAGCCAGACACACTCATCATCACTATCACCATAACGTAACTCATCTTCCAACAAACTATACAATAAAAATAATTCAAAACTTATATATATGCATCGACAATATAAGAAATATTTGTGTGTGTTATCAGATCACTTATAAAATTATGCTATATATGTATATCTCTCATGATCATAAGCATTCTTAATAACAAATAAACTAATTAACCCGTTATCGTATATACGTGAAACTATATTATATTGGCAATATGCCAAGAAAAATTTATACTATCAATATATATAACGTTAACCTGGGGTGGGGGGAGAAGAAAGAGTATTTCAAATATACTACCTTCGTTCTAAATTGGTTGTTCATTTCCCCCTGATACATATCTTTAGAAATCATAAATAAGAAAGATAATTTTATTAATTTACTCTTTTTGAAAATTTACAAACTTATTCACACTTTAAAAAAATTAATTATAAGAGTAAAATGGAAAAATATAACTAACTTCTATCATGATTTTGTAAATTGATAAAAATAACTATTTTTAATAACGTAAAGAACTAATATGAGACGGCGGGAGTACATCCATTTGGAAATGTTACTATATGTAGTTAACAAATATATGCATGCGGGAAGGTTTTAGATACGCAATCATGCATTTGCATTTTCACTAATCATAATGGCACAACAGATAGATATTTTCCTGTCACCTAAAGATAGACTTTAGCTCTCGTTCGGTCATAAATTTTGAAGCTGAAATTTAAAAATTTTAAGTTTTTAAAGTTTTAATTTAGGAAATTTAAAGTTGTGTTTGGACATATATTTTACCTAGCAAAAAATTAAAGTTTACATATATTATGAGTAAGTGAAAGTGAAATTTCTTCCGGAAACAGACTCACATAAAAATATTTTGAAGATTAATTTTTAAGATTTGATTATATAAAAATCTATGATAAAACGCTACCTAAAACTAACAACTCACGGAGGATAGAAGTTTGAAAATAATTTTGAATTCTGAACACTTCTCTACAAACTCAATATAAATTTTTATCCAAACATTTTATAGTTAATATTAATTAATTAAGGTGTTGGAAATACTTTAGTTAAAGATGTTTTGAGTATTCTAATTATTATGAAGGAAACATGTATTACATAGTAGTAATGTTTTTGTGAAACATCAAAATTACTTATCTAACCTCTTTGTCACCATTTTTTGGAACTTAAGGGACCCTTTTAAATGATTCAAAACTTTGATGATGTCACTGTGGCGTCAGCATGACTGCTCCCCACCCACCCCTTCCTCTTTTCAATTTTTCTGTTGGGCCAAAAGGAATATTTTACCTGATTTTGTTCCATTTCAGTGTCATCGTCGAGGTTCGAAGGTATACTTTTCCTTGTCAATAAGCGTCTTCTAAAGAGGCAACACTAAACAATTGATATTTCACTTTATCGTAAAAAAAAATCAATTTTTTCGTATACTGGTCATTCATTTCATGCTTATAATTACTAGTATTGGACCAAGTATGTATGTATTTGTATTTTTTATCTCCCGTGCGCCTTTTTTCATTAAAGCATTGTTATGAAGGCCAAACGCGTCAGGACCAGTATGGGCAAAGCAGCCCAACACTGAATTAAGAGACTGTGTTTGGGATCCGAGTTGATAAATACAACTTGTGAGAGAAAATTAGACTTATGCAAATTATTGAGTAAAAGTCTGATTCCTCTCATCCCCTTTATTTTATGAGTCTAAACTTCTCATCGATCTCCCTTCTATGGTCTATCAATTCCATAGTTCTTACGTTCAGTATATGTACATTTCTGTTTGGGTTTTTGCTATTTGTGTGGTTGCATTTACTTTCCAGATTTGTAATTGAATTCTAGTCTTATTAATATAGTTGAGAAGTTGGTTACTATTACATAGAGTTGAGTTCATTACAAAAGCATATGGACCTTAGAGCTTTTTTGCGCATTACACTAACTGAACAGAACAAGAAATACACAACACCAGAGTAAATAAAGTTACAGCAAACATGACAAAGGGAGAAATTGAAGCACAGACTATGAACTTAGACTAATTTTACAAGAACGCTAGTACTGCAGGATGTTCCTTAAGGTTCTTCAATACTAACAATTAACGGTAGCACAATTTTCATTATTCACTTACAGTTTGCAAATTACAATGCCAAGAGGCCTTTTTCCTTCCACTTTTTCGTCTTGTTTCGATGCTACTCCCCTGTTGATGATCTAAACAATCATTTAGTGATAAAACATTGGAGGAACTCCAACCTCAGTTATGCCTTCAAGCATTTGCATCACCATTTTCATTGAAGGTCTAACAGTTGGATCAGGATGGACACACCACAATCCCACCTTGACGAAT